CAAGGAAGGTTAGTAGGATTTTGGCTAATAGAAGAAAAGAGAAAGTTGGTTCATGTTTCTTAGTTCTCTTTGGAATTTTAGAAGTTAGCCTTTATCTATAGGGAGGAGAGGAAACAAAACAATGGCTACCAGTTTAATTGAATTAAATGCAGCTATTCATTCCCCAATGAATAAAAATAAAAGTATAGATTAATGTAAAACAGTTTCAAATTTGGGAAATGAATTGGCTGTTTAATATTCCAATTTAATTGTCCATAACTCTCCATTCAATTGATTGTAAAATTGAAACCGTTAGTAAAACACGGGTTGATCAGGTCCACAAGTTACAGTCCAGTGTTTTGTAGGCGCACCTACACCCAAGTCAAATTTGACAAGTCCAATCACGTGAGAAACCGATTTCTCATTCACCCCTATAACTTGGCTTTATTTCCAACAATCCCCCACATGAATAGAAGTTGTTTCTGGCTAGGTTTTGATGTTCATCAACTGATTCCTACATAGAGAAACTAGGTGTTACCCTTTGAACTTTCCCCTTGTAATGTATGTTTGCTTTACTAGCTGTCCAGTAGACGCGATGTCCTTGAACTGTCCGGCTATATTGTGGAAAAAAATCAACATACATTACACATTAACCATTTCTTTTTAGTTCCATTCTCATGATTTTGTTTATTTTGGCCATGAACACTTCCTGATTCTGCAAGAGTTTCTAAAGAATTGAGCCTGACCAATACTCCTTTGAACCGGCCCCACTTCTCTCTTACATAGGTGAATTCTTAAGTCTGGAGTAAATGATATTACTCACTAAAGTGTCATTAAAGCAACCGTTTGCTACCCTTTTCCATCATGTCACTGTTTGTTTGACAGGAATGAGCTGAGGTTATCCCCACAGTGACCACACTAAGTCTTAAGATTAGGTTGTCCCTTTGAACCTAGATCTTGGGATCTCCACTCAACTAGGTTGGGTTTTCCTTCAAAAGACTTTTATACGTTACAGGCTTTCTCATTCCTTTAGTCATTTTCTCAACTATCTCTCTATTTAACCCTCAGGTTAGTGGATCCACGGTGTTATCTTTTGACTTTATGTAGTCAAACAAGATATATAGTTGAGAACAGTTGCATAATAATACTATGTCTACGACAAAACAATGTCTGGAATATCATTATACAATCGACCACGTGTTATCTATGGTTAATAGATCAGTGGCACATTATCCCCGTATTCAAAACTAGCAATATCATTTGGCTCTCAATTCTATTTTTCCTCCAATTTTTTCCTAACGATTATATTGTATTCTCCAACTGATTTTAGTACAAACATCACATATTTATACTAAAACCCTAACTTATTAACCGGGCTAATAAAACCCAATTCTAACGGGCTTTGCTCTTTGAGGAGTTAACCCAAGAAAATAAATATATAAGCACGATTCCGAGCATATATTATATTACCTCTACTAACCTCATACTCCAACAATAGTTTGTCCAACTAGCACGACTTTAATATATTTATAATACACAAAATCTGATGGTTTTTGAATTTGAGTCAATGTAGAACTTAATTGATGTAGAATAATATTATTGAAACGAGTCTTTATAATGTAAAATAGAAAATTATCCTTATCGTTGTCTCTCTCTATTTTTTTGTTTTTTTACAAAAAAATGGATTGCCGAGTGAGAATGTAACACTTGACTCGTGGATATTGCCAGTCCGTTGTCTTAAATCGTCAATCATAAAACTTAATCCTGCCCATATCCTAATATCTAAATTCCTAAAGCCGCCGTAAGAGGACTTAATACACTTATTTCTGGATTTGAAAAACGTTACAAAATTAATAAGAAAGAGAATCAAACTAAACTATCTCCCATGCTCACCTGGTGCAATGATGGAGGACGAATTGGGATCTTATTTTCTTGTTAGTGTTCCGCGAGAGAGAGTAGTAAAGTGTAATTGCTTTTTTTGTCCCTTTCATTATTATACTTGTACTTGGCAAGAAAGATATTAGTACGTGAAATGATTGATTTTGTATGATGGATGGACTTATTTACACAAAATATTAGTAAACCGGAATATAAAAGCAAACAAAAATAATTACTGAGCCAACAACAGAGATTAATAGCGTCAATAATTATGTCAAAAGAAATACGTGTATTCGATTGAACAATCTGCGAGGCTCACGAAACCGGAGATGCGAGTGGCACAATATTTCTGAATTTCATTCAATGAAGCGACCATGCACGCTGAGCAATCAGCCTTGGACAAAGACAAATTACAGTTTCCAGAACCCATAGCCGCAGGCTTATCAGGAGATATAACGAAGTATTTGTAGGCTGTTGCAGTGGGCGTGTTTGTCGTTATATCATTCAGAACATAATCTACACTCTTTCCATATGGACTGCCAACCGGGTAATTACCACCCCAGCAGGATTCCGAAATCACGATGGTATTAGGAGCACCGTTCACAACACAACACCATAATCCCATCACCATTATTGTTATAAGAATGACGAGATTTTGAGCGAAATAAGTCATTTTTTTCCGCATTGATTAACTCCTGCCTGAAAACCGAAATCGTTTTGGTTTTATGAGAATTTTGGGTTTGACAATGTAATTTAAATAGGGGTTTGCTATATTGGTGAATCCGCTGATTTTGCTGTCTTTATTTGTATTAATATAAAATTTCTATGTGATGTGACCTATAAAAAATTATACTCAATTACAAATAAATATAGGGATGTGGCCTTTGCCAAATCCAGGTAGCACTGACAAATAATAGCAGCATTTAATGGCTCTATACTTCAGTCATCTATCAAATGGACAAATCACTAACTGCTCTCTAGTTTTGATTGATTTATTTTGCGCTTCTAGTAGTTAACGAATGCAGGTGACTTTATTATTAAAAAAGCACGTGTTGTCAATTTTAACTTTCTTTAGACAACAAGCCTAAAACAGATTTTAGCTCTCAATTTCGTTCACCACGAATTGATTATCCAATTGGAATTGCAATTCCTATCTTAAAACTATTTTTTCAACTTTCTCCAACATTTGGGCTAAAAGTGTAGGGACCGGATCGTACACAATGTGCGATTCACATGCAAATGATAGGTTTTTTATTGTCTCCTTGGTTCGAAACACTATAATTAATTTGCGCCTAGCTGACTGACGAAGCTTGGTTTCGCTCCGCCGGTCTAATAGTGGAACTCCAGCTAGGGTTTCCTGCAAAAAGGGCCTCGGGGTCTATCAAGGGTAGACACTCCGATACTTAAGTCAATAAAGAGTTGCTGGAAGGTTTAGGTATGTAGTATGTTAAGCTATAGATTGCTTACCTGTACTGTGGTGTGAGCAACCTTATTTATAGGTATCAGAATACCCTATTTATACGGAAACCTATTACGTTCCAGAAACCTAAACCGCCTCAAGAGTCCCGGTTGGACTCTTTTTTCGGTTGATGGGCCGGTCCAGTCTCGGTGATGGATATGGACTCGTCAAGTGCCCCTGTCAAGTGTTAGTTATATAAGATAAACAACGCTTGGCACAAAGTTACCTGAGACAAACACGAGAGTTGATAGGCTACTCTCGTTCAGCTAGTTGTCGAGCAACGCGTCAAATAGCCTCGATTCAAATGCACAACTCTCGATCTTGGAGGCCTGAGGGTAACTAGCGGGTTAGGTCTTGACCCGTTTCCTTGTCCCGCCCAAAATTTCAATCGCGCGTCATTAGTGGGCACGTTCCCCAAATGATGGCTGCACCATCATTACGCCCTTGAAATCCGCATTAACTGTCATATCGTGAACTATAATTAGGGAGACGTGAGAGAATCATTTTTATTTTTAAGGAGAAGGCTCTATCATTCTCTTTTCACTTATCACTTTTCCTTCTTTGCAAAAACTAAAGTTCCCCTCTCCGTCAGAGTGCTCCGACTGCCTTCGTCGGAATATTGAAGCCTTCACCAACATATTGCCCCAGCGACGTTATCACCAGGGGACTTTCTATTAGGATCTTGGAAGAACACTGGGAAGCTACAACTCGAAAAGCGAGTGGTCATATCCTCCCCCAACAGTAAGTTTTCAGATCTGACTACCCCCGATTTCATTCGAATTTTTTGTCTTTTACAACTGTAGCCAGGGTAGATTTGTAACGGAATCATCGTTAGGGATTCAGAAGGAAAAACTGTTGATGACATCGCATCCACCATAGATTCTGTTGATAAGGTAGAGAACCTTAGATCAAAATATGACCTTCCTTTAGATCTAGAGGTGAGAGCCTTGTTAGGAAACGAGAGGGCCAACTCTCCTCCTGAGGGAAGAATTACTGTGTATGACCGATTAATGCATCTAGGGCTTAGATTCACCCTCTTCCCTCTGTTCGAGGAGATTCTGCAACACTATAGGACTCCCTTTGTTCATTTCACCCCAAATTTAATAACTTTTGTGCTGGGATTAGCAAAAGTATGCCAACATGTAAAAGTAAAACCTTGTGTAATACTGTGGAGCTATTTCTTCCAAGTAGTTGTGGCCTCGACCTCTTTCCAAGACTGGTATATTATGAAGAGGCACCTTAGATCCGGTGTTAAAAAGATGGTCGAGGCATATGGCGGCTCTTCTGAATGGAAACCGAACTTCTTGTTTGTAAGGGCATCCGAGAACTATTGTTTGTCGTGGAATCATCAAGATACGGAGGGTCTTGGAGCCATAAGGGATGAGTAGACCCAAGAAGACAAAAAGTGCATCGAGGAGCTTAATGCAGATGTGGAGAAAATCCTGAAATATTCTAAGGTTGTTAAATGGAACGATGTACAATATTATGTACCTCCTGTGTCCACCGAGGAGGATGACAATGCTAATGTCGAGACCTCAACCAGAATCCTTCTCGAAACCTCTTTTGGAGAAAACCAAGGTACTAATCATTTGCTTTTCTGTTGTCTTTTCTTAGGTCATGTCCTCAAGCAATGCTGGTTCTCGATTGTTTGGTGACGAAGATCCTTTTACTATTATGAATTCAGATGAGGACGTTACCATCACTGCAGCGTCTCAAAAGGGTCGGAGATAGGGCGAAATCTAAAAAGGCTACTACGGATGCGTCCACCAAAGAAGCCACAGCACCGGGTAACGAGACGGTGCCCTCTGCTACTAAGACCGTTCAAAATCCTCCGCCAGAAGCAGGGCCAAGTGTTGTTCCCCCTGCACCAGAAAATGGCAAAGGCCCCCTTGATGGAGAGGCAATCACCATACCCCCTCAACTGTTCGAGGGAGGTCCGTCCGTGGCTGTGCACACCTTCAGCAACCCACCGACCATCGAGTGTCCCGTCCTTGAAGAATTCGCTACTTAGCTGAATGAGGCTGACCGTCTGAGACTCGTACGGGAGTTTCCACTGTTATGAATGCTTACCACAAACCAGTACCACCTTAGAGTGTTTCTAATGTGCTTTGTTGGTGTAGATAAGCTCGGCCTCGATGGCTTATCTGGTGCAGCTGAGGAAATTGCGAGAAGGCGTGGTCGCAGTTCGATCTGAACGGGATTAAGGTTTATTCGAGGTGGTGACCCTCGAGGAAAAGGCTCACCAGGTCCAAGCGAAGGAAGCTGAGATCGCCTTGGTATAAGCCAAGTATGACGAGCTAGACGAGAAGATGAAGTGTTTCGCCAGCTTGCACATCTTGAAGGAGGAATTACACTGGTGGTGTGCTGCGTTCATGTACAAGATGCTGTCTACAGGAGGGATGGCCACAGCCCTCGAGGAGATGAATTTGGTTGCCACCAAGTGCGGGGCGCACCGGGTTGGCGTGGCGGGTTTGAGGAGGCTCGATCAGGACAGGCCAATTAAAGCCAAGTGGTTTAAGCTACTCTTGATAAAGGACCCGAAGAAGACCATGCACGAGGCAATGGTGAAGGTCCTAACAAGGTTGAACCTTGAGCAACTGCCCCTATGGGAAGCTCTGACTGGTGCCTTGCCTAAAATGAGTTCTCCTGCAGACATTGTTTCGTTCCCAGGCGACGTACTCGCTATCTTTGCCAGGGGCCCAGTGAAGAAGATCCCATACCTGATGTACCGGACGAGTACATGGGTATTGAGCTCGAGGATGCTGATGAAGCCACCGAGGAGGACGTTGCTGACACCGGCCACTCTGGAGTGCAAAGAAATGCCGAGGACGCTTCTCAGAACCCTCCTCCAGGCCATGATGCTGTATGAATCCTGCCTCTTGTAATAGCTGTTAGGCCTGTTGAACTGCTGTGTTTTGTTTTTTTTTTGTAATGAACTAAGTACTCCATTTTTTCCTTTTGTGCACTTATATAAGCATCCCCTTTTTTTATTTTTTCCTGGTTTGATTTAAACATCTTACACTCCTCTTGTGAAGCAGGATAGGTGCTATTGGAGGAGCAGTCGAGCGAGTTCCCGCTATATTCCATGATTAGCGGAATTCTAAGAAGTCGTGCGGGCGTGCACAGTATTGAGATAGTGAGAAATCTAGAGAATGACCTTCTCGATGCAATGAGGACGCATAATGTGAAGGTTAATCAGCATCTGATAAACAAGATTAACGGACTTCGTGAGGAGATGCAATGTCGGGAAGCTCAAAGTCTGAAAGACTACGGTGATTCTCTGACTTTCGAGCCTGAAATCCATGATGAACTGGTTACTTTGGAGAAGGAGAATGCTCGGCTGAGGGAAAGACAACAGATTACCGTGTCCCCCTGGTTCCTCAAGGAGCATCAAGTGCTAGCCCGAGTTCAGCACATGAATATGACCTAAACTCGCCGCTTCATTGCAGCCATGGATATATTGAAGGAGAAAGCCCGTAAGATCGTGATTCTTACGGATTATATTGCCAAATTGCAAAATTTGTTGCTAGACAACAACATTGACTTCGAGATTTTTGAGCATCCGGACGAAACAGTGGATCCTCGAACTTGGAGTTCTCGAGAAGAGCTGTTGATGAGGGTGCATGCTCAGGACCTAGAGATCGTGGATCTTAAGGACAAGCTGAATCAATGTGTGAATCTCCTTAGCTTGCATGGGTATAAGGGGATTATTTATCCTGCTCCTTACAATCCTGTCAGGGAAGTCCTTGTAATAGTGTAGGAAGATATGTATATTTTCTGCAAGCTCGCACAGTAGTGTGGAGAGAATTAGTGAATTATTTTTGACTTCACTCGAGTATCAATTTATATAGCGCTTTTTACGCCGGATGTAAAGTACACGGCTCTATCGAGGGAATTAGGCACGAATTCCTCGATTTGATACTGCGCTTTACAGTGTGTGTGAGGAGAATTTCTCAGTCTTGTGTCCGGATGTTGAGTACACGGCTCTTTAACAAGGATGGCCCTGAAGAGGGAGTCCATCTGGGTGACTAGTCATATAGATAATGTCGACAATGAAAAGATTATGTAATGTCTTTTATTTAATAATTACCGGAGGACCCGGGTTAGCATTACATAGGAGAGGATAAAATTGACGAGGTAAATAAAGCAAATAAAACACACAATAGGCAAATAGCAGGCAAAGATTCAAACATAGAACCTGCGAAGGTTCTGAATATTCCACCATCGAGGGAGAATAGTCCCGCTATCATCCAAGGCCTATAAGCGGTAGCTGCCTGCTGGGGAAGTCTGGATAACCTTATAGGGCCCTTCCCAATTTGCTGTGAGTTTTCCAGGAGTTTCTGCTCGACTGGCCTCATTTTTCCTTAGGACGAGATCTCCCATGGCGAGATCCGTGGCTTTCACCTTCTTGTTGTAATGTCTTCGTAGAATCTCCTTATACTTTGCTTCTCGAATTCTGACAGCGTCTCGCTGTTCCTTGAGCAGGGCAAGGTTCAGCTTGATGTCATCATCATTGGTGCTCTCGACAAAATTTATTGTTCGAGGACTCGACAAGCCTATTTCAACCGGGAGGACGACATCCATGCCATAGACTAAGCTATACGGTGTTTCGTCTGTCGAGGAGTGAGTAGTAGTACGGTATGACCATAGGACGTGAGGAAGCTCGTCGGCCCATGCCCCACTTGCGTCATACAACCTGGTCTTGATCCCATGTAAGATGGTTCTGTTGATGGATTCGGCTTGACCGTTAGCTTGAGGATGAGCCATGCTTGAGAAGCGACGCTCGATTTGCATTTCCTCGCACCATGACTTGAAAGGATTGCTCTCGAATTGGGTCCCATTTTCAGAGACGATGACTTTTGGGATTCCAAAAGGGCATACAATGTTCTGCCAGAAAAAAAATCCAAGACTTTCCTCCTTGTTCTCGAGGCTAGGGGTTTAGCTTTTACCCACTTAGTGAAGTAATCTACTGCTACGATTACCCATCTTACTCCTCCTACCCCTTCCGGATGAAAGGGGCCGATGATGTCAGTGCCCCATTGGTAGAATGGCCAAGGGCTTTGGATTGTGACAATCTCGTGCTGCGGCTGTCGAGTGATGGGAGAGAAGCGTTGACACTTTTCGCATTTCTGTACCCACTGGTATGCATCCTTGAAGATTGTTGGCTAGAAATATCCTGCCCGCAAGACCTTCTTGGCGAGTGCCCTTGCTCCCATATGTGCTCCACACGATCCCTCGTGTATTTCTTCAAGCACGTAAACTGCCTACTTTGGGCCAATCCATCTTAGTATGGTTAGCAGGTACCCATGTTTGTATAAGTTGCCGTCTCGCAATGTGTATTTTACTGCCCTCAATTGGAGGGCTCTGGCCTCTACTTTTCCACATGGTAATGTTCCATCTGTAAGGTATTGGATGAACGGGGTCATCCAAGTGTTGTCGTCCTCCGTGACAACCATTACGGGGGCTTCCTGGATGCTAGGACTGGGGAGAATCTCGACCCATACTTTGTGGCTGAGATGTGCAAAGTTCGAGGAGGCTAACATGCTGAGGGCGTCGGCCCTTTTATTTTTCGACCGGGCTATGTGGGATACAGTGCATTCTTCGAACTTGTCCTTGATTTCGAGGACTTTCTCAAGATAGTGCTTGAGTTGCTCGTCGTTTGCTGTGTAATCCCCCAATATTTGTTTCACCACTACTTGAGACTCACTAAAAACTTAAATTTTGAGGACACCGAGCTTTAGTGCCATGTTCAGTCCTACTATCAGTGTTTCGTATTCTGCCACATTGTTGGTGACTGAGAACCCGAACCTTAGTGCATATGTATATTCCGCGTCATACTCCTTCATGCTTTCGATGTCGGGATTAGCTGGAGGTTTGGATAATATGATACCAGCTCCTCCCCCTTCATCACAGCGTGAGCCGTCAACGTATAGTGTCCAAGCTCGAGGGTTGATGTTGAAGCGAGTAGTAGGATCGTCTTTAGGCTCCGCAGTGTCCTTGACATCGATAGCTCGAGGCATTTCTACCTGGAAATCTGCAAAGGCTTGTCCTTTGATTGCTGATCGAGGTTAGTACTCAATATGGTGATCGCCCAATTCGACTGCCCATTTCATCATTCTGTCGAAGGCCTCTGGCTTGAGTAGGACTTGCTGAATTAGTTGTTCTGTTAAAACCAGAATGGGGTGTGCTTGAAAGTATGTGCGTAGACGTCAGGCGGCCAAGACTAGGCTGAGGATGAGCTTTCCATGGGCGTATAGTGGGTTTCCGCTCCTTGCAAGACTTTACTGACAAAATAGACGGGGATTTCTCAGCCATCTTTGCGAGGCACGAGTACGGCCGAGATGGCTTTCTCTCAAGCTGCTCCTGGTTCAGGCTTAGCTAGTGTGGGCAACTGCTTGAGGTGTTCCTTCAGATCTTGGAAGGATTCTGGCATTCTCCATTCCATTCGAATTTTCTACCTTTGCGGAGGGTATGGAAGAATGGAAGGTTTCTTTCTGCGGCTCGAGAAAGAAATCTGTTTAGAGCCTCCAAGGAGCCTGCGAGTTTTTGAACTTCCTTGACGGTTTTTGGCGCTTCCATGGCCAAGATGGCTTCGATTTTGGCTGGATCAACACTTATTCCATCCTTGGATACCTGGTATCCTAAGAATTTTCCTGACCCCACACAGAAAGTGCATTTCTTAGGGTTCAGCTTCATGTTAATTTTGCGAAAGATTGTGAAAATCTCCCGCATAATTGCAGCTACTTGCTCGTTTTTGTTTGTCTTTATCACCATGTCGTCCACGTAGATCTCGATGTTCCGGCCGATTTGGTCATGAAAGGTTCTTTTCACGAGACGCTGGTACGTGGCCCCCGCATTTTTCAGTCCAAAGGGCATTTTGTCATAGCAATAAACCCCCATCTCGGTGATATAAGCTATCTTCTCTGCATCTTCCCGTGCCATGAGGATCTGATGATATCCCTTGTACACATCTAGAAAATGGATGATTCTGTATCCGGCGATACCCACTACCATCTGATCTAAGACTGGTAGGGGGTAACAGTCTTTGGGGCAATGCTTCTTGAGGTCAGTGTAATCTTGGCACATGCTCCAAGAATTATCGGGATTTCGCACCAAGACTGGATTGGCTAACCAAGTGGGCCATAGAACTTCTCGGAGTATGTTGGCACGGACTAGCTTCATTGTTTCTTCATTGATGACGTCATTACGTTCACGAGCAAATACTCTCTTTTTCTAGCTCCGAAACCCATAACTTCTCGAGGAACTCCTGTCATGTCCGCCGAAGACCAAGTGAATATATCGCGGAACTCGCGTAGCAAGGTACTAACCTTGGCTAGCAATGGGTTTCGGAGAGAAATGCCGATTTGAACGGTCTTGGCAGGGTTAGTCTCGCTCAGGATCAATTCTCGTGTCTTACTGCTGAGTGGTGGGAGATTGGAGGTCTCGGGATCTCCCGTCTCTGGTGGTTTGGATGTTTGTCGGATTGAGTAACACTTCGACATGGCGGCGCTCGGATTAAGGTGTGCGGTGTTTTTTCCGATTCTGACTACTGTGAGCAAGCACTCTCGAGAGCTACGCTGGCATCCTTGTACCACTCCAACTCCATACTCTGTCGGGAATTTCATTACTAAGTGATAGGGAGACCAGACTGCACGTGGTTAGCACATCCAGGGTCGCCCTAGAATCACGTTGAACGGCAAGGGTGCATCTATTAGAGCAAAAACCATGGTTAAGGTGACCGTTGTAGGATGTGACCCTACTGAGATGGGGAGGCTAATTATTCCTGTTGGGATAATGGTGTGGCCTGAGAATCCCATCAAGGGCATTGTGGCTGGGCGGATGCAAGGGTTCTTGATATTCATTTTCTTGAAGCAATCATTGTATATGATTTCGACCGCGCTACCATTATCCACATAAACCCTTCCGACTTTTACATTTGCAATTATTGCCTCAATAACCATGGCGTCGCTTTGGGGACAGATGTCGGGGATGACATCGCTGTCTATGAATACGATGGCCTCCGTTCCCTTGAACCTCTTGTGGCTAGGCTCATGTCGAGGAGTCTTGGTGATGGTCCGCAATGAGTTCTTCATGTCCGTGGTGGATAAGACTTCAAGAGGAGCTCCATAAATAGCCCCTACCTGGTGAGGGATCAGCTTCGTTGGATCTGCTGGGGGGAGTTGCTGGAGTGGCTACGGTGCAGCTTCAGTAATTTGATGAGGTTGTTGTTGGGTTTTGGCTCTTGGTTGCCAACTCTTCCCCCGTCCGTCTCCCCGAGGCGGGCCTTTGAAGTTTCTTTTTGGGTAATTTCGTGATTGGGGTCTGTTATTCTTCCGCCGAGAGGCTCCTTGTACATACTGCTGAAACTTGCCAAATTGGACCCCGTTCTCGATTTCCCTCTTAAGTTCTCGAGAATCCTCCGTGTCATAG